GAGGCAGCTGATCGATGTTTCTTTCTTATCGATGTTTCTAACTATCTATCCCTCTCCCTTCCTCTCTGTAAAAAATCAATAAAATATATTTTAAAAAAAGATATAATATTAATCAAGCTATTGCAATAGGAGGAATATTCATTAATGGTAAACATTTTATTTTATTTTTAAATCTTTATTGTTGAATCAAATTAAAATTCTTACCAGTTTGAGATTATTGAAGTTAGGTACACCAACAGGTAAATTTTCAAAACTGCTCAACAAAGTGTCTGAAACAACAAACAAAGAACTAATAAAATATGAGAACAAGAATAGAAAGTTATGAAAAATTGCTTCTCTTAAAAATAGAGAATGCCCAAACAGGAAGGGTTGATGAGATAGTTGTGGTTTTAGGAGGCTTTGTTTAAACAGATGAACAACTATTATTATTATATATCAGCTTGAATATTTATGCTAAAAAGAAAACAGCCAACAATAATTTTTAAAAAAGATGAAAGAAAATTTGAGGAGGTAAAATCTTCATGGTTTTATGGAAGATGTATTCCTTGAGTCTTCATTATCATCACCACCATTGAAGCACTCACTGAATAGCAAACAGCTGGAAAAGCTCTGTGTACAGATGTGGTTTTCCTTTTCTTTAGCCAAGACTTTATTAATTAACTGACATACTTTCAGTGGAGCACAGAGACTCCTGAAGACTGTGGGAAATAGGGAGAAAACCCATGGAATCCTCATTTGACAAGACCTTAAAATAAAGATTGAGTTGCTTTCGCCTTTCATTTCCTTTCTACGGGCTTTCAAACCCTTTGTTCATTCTAAAACCCAGGGGTTCCTCCAGCCTATGCTCTGCCCCCTTATGGCCCTTTATCTCTCTACCCAATCTCCATCCTTGGACAGCTCAGTTTGCTTGTCCAAGCCGTGTCCACCATCCAAGCATGTCCACCACCAGGAAGATAATCTCAGGACAAATGCCTATGAAGTCCCTGGAATGGGCTCAGGGCCATTTAGATAGGGAACTCTGAGGACCCAGGTACCCAAGTGTGCTCTACAAGTAGGGGCTCAAGCTCTGGGCCTTCCCTTGGCTATAAAGATTCCTTGAACTATAGGGAGTTACAAAGCTTTACAAGAGTTAGCATGGGGGCCCTGTAAAGTGGAGGAGGGGAGCAGGGAAGGAGCTCTGGTTGTATGAGGCAAAGGATGGTACTGGCTTCCATTTTAAAAAATGGTTATTGGTAGTAGACCATCATAATATCTACCACTTATCAGAAAGTTCTACGTAGTTCAAAATGAACCAACTAGAGGCCTAATAAAGTATTAAAGTATTTAGAGTAATTCAAGAACAACCTTTAAATTTCCCTGAATTATTAAAAAAGTGGACATGACTTAAAAGAAAAAAATAAATAATTTTAAGTTTAAATTATGTTGCTAATTAAAACAATTTAGTCTGGTCAGAAACTACATAAAGTTTGAAATTTTAAAAAGACTAATCATTTTAAGAGACCCATCCAATAGACTACATGATTAAAGTTTTCATAAGCTCCTGATTCACATTTTTTTGATTTGGGGTAACATTTTTATTGGGGTTAAAAATTGCCTCCACAATTTTAAAGAAAACTTTGCTTTTGTCATTATTTACTACAAAACTCTTAAAAATAAAGTACACAAGGTTGTAATGTTATAAATGTATTAGGTGTCCCCTTAAAACATAATTTTTAAAAAAGTGTGTATGATATAAGATAGGAGCCATCCCTCCACCAGAGCTGTATCCAATTTGCAAACATCTGAAAACCACAGAAGAAAGGGAAGGGGGTAGGGTAGGGAGCAAGGGGTGGGGAGAGAAGGGGAGACACTCTTTTCAAAATGATTTTGTTTAGCAACTAAAAGTAAGGGGAAATGATGAAATATATGAACTGATAATAACTTTCATTTTTTAAAAGAAAAATGTTTAAAAAACTAACTAGAGTAGTTTTCAAGTTGATCCAAAGAAGAATAATCCCAGCTGCCATGAGGTGCTCTTTAACAATTAGGTTCAGGTTCAGAGAAAGAGTAAATTAGACCAGACCACTGTGAATGTAAAACATGAAAAAGCCAATGTGAGCAAAGCAGAAGCAGAAAGCTATTTTAGGGGCCAAAACAGACCTTCTCAGAGGCTTTGGTGTGAGATTTTTATGTAGGAAATTCTTATCAAATGTAAATATCTCTGTGGTATATGCATTCTAAGCTGTTAATTTTTGCCTAGTTCATCTATCTGTGCCTTCTCTGTAGTCACAAACTGCCTCTGGGATGTGCACTGTCAGATGAGGAGGATCTCTGATAGCTCTTTAGGGAGGTGCCACACAATGTTTGTAACTTTTTTAAAGTTTATTTTCATTTTTGACAGTATTACAGATGTCCCCTATCCCCCCATCCCCCCCCAACTTCCTTCCCTCCACCCAGCCCCGCCCAACCCCAGGCCTTCCCCACACTTAACATCTGCATCCCTGGGCTATGCATATATGCATATAAATTCTTTGGTTAATCTCTTCCTGCCCCCCACACCCCTCCCCTCTGAGATCTGTGGGTCTGTTCCAGGCATCCATGCCTCTGGACCTATTTTGTTCCTGTTTGTACCTTTTTAATCTATAAGGTACTTTGATCTCCCCCAGAAAAGACCTTCTGAAAATATAAAGTCCCTTATCACTTTACCTCAGATGTCAAGCAAAATTTTAAATTGCTTGAAAGATTCTAACAGGTGAATCTGTTGGGGATTTTTCCAGTTTTGTTTCACTATCAGTGGAATAGCTTATTGGGCCTGGAAAACCTCATTGGTTCATAAAAAAATCCAATCCTTTTAAACAGTGATCATCATTACTTCTAGGTTAGAATAAAATCAGTATTTATATATAAAAATACTCTTACATAGTGTGACATTTTCAGCAATAAAGTTAACATTTATAACTCTTTATTTGTAGTTTAGTTTTGCTATCAACATATACTTTACTGTATTATATATACCACAGGAATATTCTGAAAACAGCTTGCAGTTAGCATCTCATAAAATTCTTCTGTTGCCCAGCATGGATGGAACTGGAGAGCATTATGCTAAGTGAAATTAGCCAGTCAGAGAAAGATAAATACCACATGATCTCACTCATTTGTGGAATATAGAGAACTACATACATAGACTGATGAACAGGGACAGATCCAAAGACAGCGAAACAGCGATCAGACTATCAATCCCCAGAGGGAAGGCAGGGGAGGGAGGGGGTAAGGGGAAGAGATCAACCAAAGGACTTGTATGCATGCATATAAGCCAAACCAATGGGCATGGACAACAGGGGGATGAGAGCATGAGTGGGGGTGGATATTGGGGGTTAATGGGGGGATGAGGAGACATTTGTAATACCTTAACCAATAAAGAAATTTAAAAAAAATTCTTCTGTTGCCCAAACTTTGACTTTTTGTTTTAATTCAGGCTCTCCGTCGAGACTTTGAGAAAAGAAATAGTTTACCTGTTATTTCATGTCTGTAATTGAAATTTTACTTTTCCCTAAAATGGACATATTGTACCATGCTTCATATATCCCTGGAGAAGTCAAGGGGGTCAATGGAGACATGAGCCAACATTAAGATAGAGGAAGAAAGAAACGTGTAAAACCTTTGAGTAGTTCTCAAAGAAACTTTGAATTCTATAAATCTTTGACAGACTATATATCTTCTAATTTAATTCTCACTGTAATCCCATGAAGTAAGCATTATAATTATTGTTATACCTAATTTCAAATGCAGCAACAAGCTTGGATGCTAAAATACTTGTAATTATGAAGTAGGAACAAGAGGATCTGAGCACACACTTTCTGGTTCCAAAGTCTTCATGTTCCTTTCTTGGTGGCTTCTGTAATTTTCTTTCTTTGTATTTTTTTTTTGGCTTGCACTTTGATGTTTTAAAAGGAATACAAAGCAATAAGCTCTATATATTACTTTTGGTGCTGCCCAGCTTACCTTTATATTTAACAATTGATTTTCTCTGGCAACAGCAAGAACCTTGTCTTGACACTTTCCCATTTTTTCACTGCTGCTAAAAGCTGGTAATACACTTGAATTGCCCATACCAGACAAACATTTGCTTTAAAAAAGAATAAATAAATAAATAAATAAATAAATAAATAAATAATAAATAAATAAGACTGCAACATTATATGTATATTAAATTCAAGCTCTATAAGCTTAGAGATGTCTCATGATTGCTAGTTTGAAAACTGAAGTTGATCTAACGCGTATTTCCCCTAAACAAATAATGAAATAAAGAAAACACAGAGCAATGTATTTTACCCATCCCACCATCCGGGAAAGCATCATAATGGCATCTAAGTGTTCCCTTCCCAAGAGCCTTACTGCAGCCTTGACCAGATCAGCTATCCATGATTGCATACCGCTCACTGAAAAACTGGAAGCATTACGGACACTGCCTAACAAACCTTAGCACTTCCCTGGAAACTACTGAGAGACCAGAGCACATGTTATCACACATTTAAGTAACTCTTAAGACCAACATTTGTAAATAAAGACTTGCAAGGTGTGTACACTAAGTTACCTGGTGTTTCTTTTCTAATTATTCACTACTTAGTAGTCAAGAGAGATTTCCACCTTAAGGTAAGTTTTTATGCCTCAAAACACTTGTTTGTGCTTGAGGTTCTTAAAAATATCAGAAGGTTAATTAAGTACTCCAATAAGCTGGTCAACTTTGTTAGAAAGTACCGTATATGTACCTTTCTAAATACTTTGAATACTTGTGAACTTTTTGTTGAGGTGCATGGGCCTACCTTGGTACTGAATTAGAAATAAAAAGTTTGGAAGTAAATTTTGTCCAGAGCTGCTTCCCACACAAATCTGAATACTTACAGAGATGATTATCCATTATCTTGAAATATCAGAAGGAAAATAAAATTTGCTAAAAAATAATTTATTTTTATTTAACTACTAAGTCATTCATTGAGGGATTAAAGAGCAACAAACTTTTGTGGAGTTTCATTAACACATTTGGCTTTTTATTTTTAGAATATAGTCTACATCTGGATTAAAAAAGTTTTAAATAAATTTAAGACATATAACAACAGTGGAACTCTTCATCATTCTATATACAACACTGATAGAACATCAGTTGGTTCCATTTCAGACAAGTCCACTTTCTCATAATAATATTATTTCCACTGGCTGAATGGCAAGCTTCATACAAGCTGGCACAGTGCCAACTTACACTCACTGGGATGGGGACAGGGTGGCCAGAAAGGCATGGGTAGAGTGCCACAGGACAGCTACACTGTGGAACAGAAAATAATTAATAACAAAGTAGTACCGATTACCCACAGACAGTGCTGTTTGTGCGCTTATCACAATGGAATCGCCGAAGTTTCAGAGCAAGGAGGAGGTCCGAAATACTTAAGGAAGGGCCACGGTTACAAAAAGAAATAGTGCAAACAGGAAAACTGATGCAATCCTAGCAACGCTGCGGCCTCCAACAGCCCAAGCGCGGGGAGGCGGGAGGCTGCAGCTTGCCCCGCCTTCCTCAGCGCCCAGCTCTTCTGGGCGGCGCTCCCAAGTGTGGCAACCCAGTGCCGCGCCCTGGCATGGCCCCTTCTCGGCCCTCTTCCACCGGAAAGAACAGTAAAGAAATTCCAGAAAGGCACAGGCTGAATGCAGGGCGTCAGCCCAGTTGCATTCCCACCAAGGTAGAACACAGACCTCCCCTCCCCCCACCGTCCCAAGGGAGGCAAGGAGGTCCTGAGCAACCGCCCTCTCCGCCGCCACCACTTTCTCTTCTCTTCTCTTCTCTTCTCTTCTCTTCTCTTCTCTTCTCTTCTCTTCTTCTCTTCTCTTCTCTTCTCTTCTCTTCTCTTCTCTTCTTCTCTTCTCTCCCTTCCCTTCCCTTCCCTTCCCTTCCCTTCCCTTCCCTTCCCTTCCCTTCCCTTCTCTCTTCTCTTCTGTTTTCTCTTCTTCCAAAAGAGGCCCCCTCCTCCTTGCAGCCCTGCTGCACACCTTTCACGTACTCAGCCCCCCAAATTTGCCGTTGGCCCATCACGCCCTAGAGCCAAAAAGAAAACAGCTTTGAGAAAAGAGAGGGTAAGAGATGGGGCCGGGAAGGGTGCTGGTCAGCGGTGGGCGACCCTCCTCAGTGGCCCCAATTGCTGAAGCCAATCTCCTGCTTGTATCTGTTGGTGAGGATGTTGGCTTTGCGCGTGAGTTTGGAGAGCACAGTGTGCCAGCCCGCGCCAGGTGGTAGTGAAACTGCTGTTTCCAGGTCCTCCTCCGGCCGGTGTCCGCGCCCCTCCAAGTGGCTCAGGTCCACCAGGATGTCCTTGGACTTCCCAGGTGCCGCCCTCCTCGCTCCCCGCCGGCTGTGGCGGCTGGTGCAGGACCCCCCACTCGATATCGTTGCGGATGGACTTGAGCAGCATGTAGTGGCTGTACATGTCCCGGGAGGGCGCGAAAAAGCCGCCGTTGGCGCTGCCCGCGCCAGCGGCCGGAGCCGTGCGCTCCTCCAGACAGCCGCCGCCGCCGCCTACCTCCACGCCGACATCGTTATCCAGCCCGGGCTCGGCCAGGGGCACGTCGCGCAGCAGGCTCGGCACCATCACCGTCTGGTCCATGTTGTTCACGGCGCCGATGAAGCGGTTCATGGCGTTGAAGAGCGAGTGCTTCTGGTTGTAGGTGTCGCAGATTTGCATCATGGTGACCGCGCGGACGCTGCAGGGCAGGGGCACGGGATGGCCGGCTGCGGCGAGGGGGTGCCCGCCTTCCGGGGCTCTCGGAAACCCGCGCCGGGGTCCGGGCTGCAGCCAGAGCGCGGGGCGGCGGGCTTCCCGGCTCCTCCTCCGCCCGCTCACAGCCCGGCCCTGCGGGACGCGCGGCTTCTCCTGGCTTTGGCGTCCGGTAGCTCGCGATGGCGCGCGTGGTCCGTGGGGCGAGCCCTGACCTGGCGGGGAGACGGGGGGACGAAGAGCACATTATTCTCTCCCCCTGGGGAACCCGGCGTCCCCGCCCGCACGCACCTCCCTCCGCGAGGACTGCTCCCCTGGGACTTCGCCCAGGTGCAGCCTGGCCACCCCACCTCCGCCCCAGCCCGGGGCCCGGGAGAGGAGGAAGGGTCGCTCCCCTCCCCCGGTCTTCCTCCGTCAAGCGGGGTCCAAGCACACACGCTGACCGGAGCAGAGATGGGGCGGCGGCACCCACCTCGTCCTGGCCTGGAGAGTCCCAGTCGCTAAGTAGCTCAGCTTCTCGCAGCTGCGGTCAGTGACCGGACTGTGACTGGGTTGGTGGTGGTGGCGTCGGCCCCCTACCCATCCCAGGTGCTCAATTTATAGAGCCCCAGAAAGGTGTCGCCAGCGATCCGGGCCACCCCCGGTGTCTCCTCCTCCCGCCTCCCGGCAGCGCCCAGATAAAAGTCCCGAGCGAGGATGACCGGGAGTAACACTCCCCGGCCCTTTCCACAGCGAGGGCGGGGCGCGACGGGCCAGCTCCGCCTCTCGCCTGATGCCCGGGTGGAGGGAGGGCGCAGCGCCGGGGTTGGGCTGGAACGGCCGCACCCCACCAGCGCCAGAGCAAAGCAGGCCAGTTGGGGGAGGGCGGGGCACTGCGCGGGTAAAGAAAACGCCAGCGTCCGGACTGGCAAGAGGGCGGGCGGGAGTGCCAGGGTTGGGTGGGCCTCGCCGGTGCTCCTGGGATAGGGTGACCGAAGTGCACGCGCTCTGGTTGCAAAGTGAGCCTCTACACCACTCACCAGCAGTGGCTTCGACCGGGAAACTACTGTCCCGGTTTATTATTAGCTGTTGGGAAATAGGGACCCGCAGCAGCCGCAACTCTATCCCGGGACTCTTACGTAAGAAGGAAGAAGGGTGGCTGGGCACATCGGGGTGCACGTGGACTCTTAGTGCTTCCACTTGGCTCTGGCCTTGGACACTTGCTGGGGGAGGGGAGACTCTTAGTGAGGTCTCTCAGTATTTCTTGTAATAGTTGCTGCCAGGAATAAAGACTGACCCACCATCTGATCTGCACAATTTTCTCCAAAAGATCAAACATGGCAATTAGAAGAAGTAACTAAATTTCTGGCGTTTGTCCAAGTCCCACTACACTGTGATGCTGGACAGACCCAATGCAAAGAGCCAGGAGAGGGTGACAGTAGTTAGGCCTGGTGTTGCCTCTTTCATCATTTAACAGAAAAGTAGTAAGGTGTCCAATAATATTTTGAGGGGGAGAGGGGTTTGAAGTGTTCCTTTCCAAAGACTTCTTAAAATGCAAGGCCATTTAATAGGGCCTTAATAAGCGATGTACCATATCACTGGATTTAACTTTTAATAGCCTCACACCTTAAATTTTCACTTTGAGATTCTAAACCACAGCCTGTTTTCATTTTTGTTTTTATAATCTCACTTCCCTAGTCACAGCCTTCATCTACCAGTCTTCTCCTACAGTCCTACAAATAATTCAAGCAGACTCAAGTTTCTAACTGTAAATCATTTTTCTCTAAAACCTTGCAGGACACAAAGTACCACAGGCAGAGAGCATATAAAGAGGTTTATTTCTTTCACTTTACAATCTATATTTAAGTGTTTTCCATGGCAAACAATCTTCCTAATTGTCTTTTGAATGAAAATCTGACTTGGTGCAGCAAAGACTCAATGGGACACAAGTCAGTGATCCCTGGACACAGAGCCCAGTCTGGGGACTGCTCCCTCCCAGGGCCTATGAGCACCAGATTATAGCCCATGTTTTCTTACCTATAAAATTGGGATAATATTACCTGCTCAACCTACCTATTAGGATCTTTGGGTCAATGAAAAGAAAAATGTAGAGCCAAAAGCACTATATAAATTGGAAGCATTAAAATAATCTCACCCTCCCTCTTTGTGCATATTGAGACTTAGAAACCTTTTCAGCCTTAGGTAGCTTCTCCCATGGGATATGCCAAATTTTGGTTGAAGATAATGGATTTAAAAATATGTAAATTGCAATGCACTTTACAATGATTATTTGTACTTGCTATATATGGAACCTCATCATAGCCACCAGGTGTTTATGGGAAGAGTGTGAGCCACAGACGCTGCCCCCCCACCCCCACCCCTCCACCCCCGCCCCCAGTGCTAAGGCAGCAAGAGAGTACAAAATAGTCCAGGTTGATTTTAAATCCTTATTTCCAATGAGACACAGAGCATTGCAAGAGAAAAACACATATCCAGTTTCCACTAGCTGAGCCTCTCATTAATTAAAACATATTCTGTCCCCAGTGACAAACCCTGTTGATATTTAAGTACCTATGCCTCTGGATGAAAACTTGGTATTCAGCTTTGAGTAATGAAATGCCAGAATCCTGCCTTTTTTCTTCTCAGTCACAGCAAAGTGTGACAATAACTCACAGAAAATGGAAATTAAAGTGATCTAGAAAAGGATGGGGGCGGGGGGGAGCCCAGCTGGGGAGAAAGCCCCCACTGCCTTCTTTTTGGCCTCCTCCTCTTTTCTAATCTGTTTCTTTTCTTTCTCTGGTTTCCAGGTCACTCTCCATTCCCCAGTTTCTTGACTCCTACCCTTGTTCTTTCACATTTCTTAAGGGAAAGATGGCTCTTGCACCTGCCTACAGAACTTCCCAAACCGGGCGTCCTCAGCTTCCCCGGGGCGGCACAACAACTTAAGGCCACAGGGGTAACTCCGGAATGGAAATGTCCTGGACCAGAACTGCGGGGCCTTTGGAATCACCCCACCACCGCCCCTCTGGCTTTAGCCAATCAGATGCTGTTTTACAGCGTTATGCAAATAAGCCTTCGCTCCCCAGCCAGTCAGGAGCCTGGTCTCCCTCCCCCAAGCGTCCTCTTTCACCCTAGCCACGCCGCCAGACTCTCTGCCGCATCACTGACAACCCGCGCTCAGCCAATTTTCCCCGACCAGTGGCTAAAAAAAAAAAAAAAAGAAAGAAAAGAGAAAGAAAAAGAAAAAGAAATGGTTCTCTGGAATCACTGGTGGGAAGCTAGCGGGCGTGCCCTGGCCAAGTCGGAGGTGGGCAGCAGCCTCTCTGGTTGCACTAGGCACTTTCACAATTACCATATGGAACAGGCTGGAGGTGCTGAGCAACCTTCCCAGCCTTCCTTGGCCTTGGGAAAACAGAGGAAGTCCCGCGTTGAGCAAACAACTTTTGAGTACTTGAGGCCAACACACTCCAGAATGGGTCTCCACTTCCTTTTCAGTAAAAGACTTGTCAGGTTGGTGCCATCTCTACTTATTCGTCCATAGCTCCAACTCTGGAGCTCTTAAATCCCGGTTCTTAATTCTCATTTTACCTTCTTACTTCAGCAACCAGGAAATCATGCTTTGCTAGCTATCTCCCAAAAAAGTATCCAGAAATTATTCCTTATACTGTATCCTTTGTATAGTCCAGTTCTGGGAAAGGTGGCATTTTAAACGTCCAAAAATTAATACAGTAGAGAGCAAGAGTAAACTGGTCAAAGAAGGCAGATTGAAGAAATAAGAGGTTTGTCCTAGAGCTGGAGGAAAGGCAATATAATTGCAAGGCTAGAAACCAGCCCAACCCAAGATAGTGGAGCTTCTGGATTATTTTGAGGCAGGAACCACTTCATGCAAAGTGACCTAGAAATATGACATCAGACTGTTGTGTTGAAGGTCATGTAGTCTAAACCACCTAGTTGTGCTGAAATCACTCACAACATCCCCAAGTGCTCACCCTGGCCCACATTCTTGTAATTCCCTTTCTTCATTATTAGTTCTCCTCCTGGAGCCCTCCAGGAGGCCATGCAGTTCACCATCACATATTTGAAGGTAGATACCATGTCCTTTCGAATCCACTATTCTTCAAAGCAGTTGTCTCCAGTTCCTGCAACAGTCCTTCCGGTCCTCCTTGGAGGTGCTCATCCATCCTAGTCACTATCTTTGGAAGTAGCTCCAGTTCCTTGCAATTCATTCCAAACACAAAATGGAGTGGCACAGCCACCAATTTTATTGTAAATTATAACTTTTCTAGGTCATATTTATTGCACACAAGTGCTTGGAACTTAGACATATTAACACATTTTAAGTTCACAACAAAAGTGAGGCTTAGAGAGTTTAAGAGACCAAAGTAGCAGAATTAGGATTTGACCTAGTTTTCTGATGCTAGAACCAATTTTCCTTCTACAACCCAAAGAATATCTATTCTTACAATGCTGCCTAACATTTAATGGACTTCTTTTAACAGCTACATCCATATGCTGCTGGTTAACAAAATTTTGTATATCCCACTTATGAGCAGGGCAGAACATTTTGGACTAAAGTGCAGAACTTTATATTTGTCTTACTTAAACTTTATCTTATTAGTTTTGGCCCATTACCCTAGTCTGTTCCAATATTTAGGTTCTATTTCTGTGATCTAATGTATTTGCATCTTACCCAGATTTTGATAACTATCATATATATTCATCCAGGTTATTGATAATAAGTAAAAGGGCAAAGTGCTGTAGAATGTTTGGAGAGCTCCTTTAGCTTTCTATCAGTCTATTAATTAACACCTTTTTATATATGTTGTTTCAGCCAGCTGTGAATCACATTAATTATATAATCATCTAGCCTATATTTTTCTTCTTGACCACAGAATATTATGAGAGACCTTGCTAAGTATCTTGCTAAAGCCCCAAGTTAATAGCCAATTTTCCTCTGATGGAGTCAGGGCATTTGTGTCATCTGCCACAGAAGAACCACTGTTGCATGATAAAAAATGCAGAAGTAGCATCATGATATTTTGAATTAAAATTGAGGGGGAAGTAATCTAATTTTAATTGTCATTATAGGAAACATGCCCATGAAGATTTATTTGGGAACAGATAGACAGGAAGTTGCAAGAACCTAGAACAAGGCAGTAGTGAGTCTGATGGCCTCAAACCTTAAGCTTTCAGATTCTGGCGTGTCTGAATATGTTAGAGTTAACATTTTGTCACAATCTCATTTTTTAAAAAAATCTATTTAGCCTCATAATCAGGAGGAGTGGAGCACAGGAATGTTGAGAATACTAAAGACTACCTTTTGTTATGTTCTCAGCATTTCTACATCTTTGGGAACTCTAAACTATATAGAAAATGATGCATTTAATTTGAGTATGGTAGATAAAAAAGTGCAAAACTCAGGTTTGCTTACCCACCATATAAGAGCTTCTCAATTTGATTATTCCTGAATCTCTTAGAATTCCAGCACCTTACTGCGCTATTAGCATAGAAGGAACAAACAAGGGGTTATTGTTCAGGGATAGAGCATAGAAGGAATGATGAAAGTATTCTTCCCTCTCTATCCTGTTTTCATTTGTCATGGTTAGTTTGAATTCTGAAATTATATTAATTGTTTCCAAATTATAATACTAAATTGACATATGAAGAAAAAAATATTTCATATGTTCAAGTCCTAACCTAAGTTTTATATGCATGTTTGTTTAAATTTATCTTTAT